TGATAATACCCCCTAAAAAGAGCAAATGTATTTATATCTGTATGGGATCAAGTGCTGTATTTTCACAAAAATATGGGTGTCTGTTTTTGTGTGTAGTTTTATGAGACCACCAGATGGCTTGACTGTATTGCTAGAAAAAGTTATTAATAAAAGTTTGTTTCTGGGAAAAAAGCTGCAACATCAAATGCAGTGTGTTATAACAAGGATAATGGCAACTTCTGGCAGCACATGCTTCTACAACACAAACAGGATTTCTGCCAGGGTTTCTCTCCATTTTTTAATAAATTCCTGTAACCACTGGGAAAACACTATGTCCCTTTGAAAAATTTGCGTTGAACTTCAGTCTAAGTTCACACTGCTGTAATATGATTTTGATCTGAATGTAAGTGTTATTATGTAGCGCAACTTGATTGCACTTGAAATGGTTTTCATATTATTTGGGGCCAAAATCATGCTGGAATTGCTGGAAGTAGATGGGTCACATTGATGTGAATGGGCATCATTGAAAACAATGTGATTTCCATTGTTGTGCGATTCTTCACAACTCAAATTTCATCTGAAATTACACTAGTGTGAATGAAGTCTAAGAGTGGGGTTGTTTGTAAGACCAACAAAGCATTTTGACACCTGGTTTTGTTGTAAAATGTCCATCAAAGGCATCAAAGTGAAACAGAACACAAGGTCTCAACAGAAAATGCATTGTGCAAAAACGGAAGGTGTAGTTTTTTAAAACAATGCTTGCAAATATAGTGTTGTTTCTAATAGTTTAGGCCCACCACTGTGCTAAATACAGCAATAAGGCAACACTTACAAGTAACACTTAAGTTCCTATTTTTCTCTTTTTCTCTCCTCTTCTCTATATAATTTGAATTGTAACATCATTAACAAGACAGAACAATGCAAAGGAACTACTGCCACTGGCAAACAAGCTCAGCAAAAAGCCATAAAGACAGTTAAATTATTTGCATTCGCTTATTACAGTATTTTGGTAGGTAATCAGAGCTGAATATCAATAGCAACATACAATTTATATATTACATTCTCTCTTTCAGGTATGGGTCGCTTCAACCAACTGGTTTAAAGGATCAGTTTGCCTTTTTTTTTTCTTTTTCAGCTTTCCTTTGTGCCAATATACGATTAATGTAACTCTTTTGCAGAAAATAAAAAGTTTTAGACAAGGCTTTATCTCAGTCACTCACTTTATCAAAGGGGATCCATGCAAACTCCAAACAGGTAGTGTCATGGTTAGAATTCAAACAGATGACCAGGGGCGGACTGACCATTTGGAAACTCGGGCACTGCCCGAGGGCCCGGGGTCAGTAGGGGGCCCCATGAGATGCCTCTGGTACCTTTTTCATAGGATTTTTTGAGTTTGAGCAAGGACACAGGGGCTCCATGATCTCCTATTGCCCGGGGGCCCCATGAGTTGTCAGTCCGCCCCTGCTGATGACTCTAGTGCAGCCAGGTGGAAGTGATAACCACTTAGCCATTGTGCTAAGTGAAGAAGTTAGAACAGATGAAACATGTAAGGTGGCTGACGCTGGGAGTGAGTAGGAACTGCATCTTTCATTTTTGCTGTTTTTGTGAGCTGGGAAGGATTGGAGTGGCTGTTAGCTGGTGGCCTATCTGTAGGTTCTCTGTGGCTTCCGGGCAGCACAGTGGCTAAATGGTTAGCACTTCCACCTGGCAATACTAGGGTTGTCGGTTCAAATCCCAATCAGGGCACCACCTGCTTGACGTTTGCATGTTCCCCCTGTGCCTACGTGATTTTCCCTCCAAAGTCATTCTGGTAGGTTAATTGATTGCTGTCTAAATTGGCCCTAGTATGTGTGTGTATGAATGTGAGTTAGGGACCTTAGATTGTACGCCCCTTGAGGGTTAGGGACTGATGTGAACATACAATATAAATATATATATATTTAAGGTGCTGCGTAAATGGACGGCGTTATATAAAAACCTGAAATAAATATATTTGCCAACTCATCTATATGCTTGATTTTAAGCATATGCTTAGCTATTTGCCGACCACCATATAGCAAATATACTGCTACAGGGCAGCTGTTCTGTGCAAAATCACATATACACTCACCAGCCACTGTATTAGGTTCACCTGTTCAGTTGCTTGGTAACAAAAAAATTGCTAATCAGCCAATCTCATGACCTTAGCTCAATGCATTTAGGCATGTAGACGTGGTGAAGATGACTTGCTGAAGTTCAAACTGAGCATCAGAATGAGAAAGAAAGGGGATTTAAGTGACTTTGAACATGGCATGATTGTTGGTGCCAGACGGGCTGACATAAGTATTTAAAAAAACTGCTGATCTACTGGGATTTTCATGCACAACCATTTCTAAGGTTTACAGAGAATGGTCCAAAAAAGAGAAAATATCCAGTGAGTGGCAGTTGTGTGGACGAAAATGCCTTGTTGATGTCAGAGGTCAGAAGAGAATGAGCAGACTGGTTTGAGATGATAGAAAGGCAACAGTAACTCATGTCAATATGGACCAAAATCCCTGAAGAATGTTTCCAACACCTTGTTGAATCTATGACTTGAAGAATTAGGACAGTTCTGAAAGCACAATGGGGTCCAACTGGGTACTAGCAAGGTGTACTTAATAAAGTGGCTGGTGAGTGCATATACATGATTTTGCACTTCCTGGTGTAGGGGGCACCCCTAGCGTTCCACTTCTGCTGTGATTAGTCTCAGCAGAAAAACTGATCAATGAGTGCTAGTCAATGGATGAGTGCCAGCACCTGTTGATCAGCGAGGAGAGTGATAAGACACAGCTCTACTTACTGTATGTACAGTGAACAAGGTAGAGCTGTGCCCTGTCAGCGCAAACTGTATTTTGCAGCTTAGTTAAGTAATTTATACACAAAGTGCCACACTTTGTACACAAAAACACTAGTTAGGCACAGTTAACCTTAGATGTTTAACCCCTTCCCAGCCAGTGTCAGTAATACAGTGACAGTGTATTTTTTTTAGCACTGATCATTTTATTAGTGTTACTGGTTTTCCACAAAGTGTTCAGTTGATGTCAGTTAGTGTCAGATTGTTCGTCGCAATATCGTAGTCCTGCTATGCTGATCGTCGCCAATACTAGTATAAAAAAAAAATCTAGTATATATACCATAGCTTGCAGACACTATAAATTTTATATGTATGTACTTTTAGAAATTCATAGTAGAATACATTTTGGCCTAAATTTATGAAGAAAGTAGATTTTTTTTTGTAAATGTATTTATTGGATATTTTTTTTAGTGAAAAGTAAAGAAATATGAGGCATTAGTCAAGTGAAAGGGGTTGCCCTATGCGTGATAAGCAGAAACTCTCCAAAACACCCTCCAAAGAATGTGCATGGGACCGTAAGTTTCCGCTATGCAGCGATGTGAACGGGGCTTGACAGCTGAGTGTCTCTGTCCACTTTTCCTATGTACTTGTATGAAGATGGCCATACACTATGCAATAGGATTGTACATGCTCTGTACAATTTCCTTTAGATTTACCAAAACTATAGAATAGGAGGATCCACCTGAACAATCCATTCAATTTGAATCAAATCAGACAGGCCCGTGCACCACATAGTTGATGGCACATCTAAAGGCGATTCTACAATCAGATTGGTCAGATGGCCATCTTAAAGGAAGAAGTAGGAAAGTGGGTGGGAATAAAACAAGAGGTGGAAAAGCAATGAGGGAGGTGCGGCTCAGACAGGTAAACACACCTTTTCATGCCCTATTCTGTGATGCAGAAAGGCAGTGCATGATGAGATTCAAAGCTTCCTGGATGTCACATGTTCTACAGGAAATTATGGAATCAGAAAGCATTTTTTTTAAATCAAATAGAAATAAGAAAAATGCAAAGCTTCCATAGATGAGGTAAGTAGGAGATAAGCCCATTGGAATGGCTTGGCCAAAAACGACATTAGAAAACGCTTCTATTTATTATGAAACTACCTGTAACTTTCTGCTCTACATGCTGTTTCTGTGAAATCTGAGGAACATTTAGACGCCAATGCTTTTCTGACTCTGCAGCTCAGCCACCAACAATTTTACCAAACCTGCTGATTTTTTTTTTTTCATATTTGTTTAACGGCAGCTTAGAAAATGATGTGTCAACAGATCTGGTTACATGTTTTAGTGCATCGGAATAAAATGAAGGAAGTAATAGAGATGTGTTTGTCTGCCTATTTGATTCATGACAAAGCTTCCCTAATATTTTTTTAGCCTGTGTTGTCAAATGTATTTTGCAGCTTAGGAAAGTAATGTATATACCCAGTGGCACCCGAATTAGATAGCATTGTTTATATATGAAAATAACCAAACAGCAAATTGCATGGCTGCAGTTCAATAAATAAAGCATGCAGACATAGTCAGGAGCCCAAACATTAGATTAGGAAAGATGTGCAATCTAAAGCTGGGTATACACATACCAAAATTTTGCTGGTTCAGCAGGAACTGGTTAAATTTCAATCTGTTTATATCCCTCTCTGTTCAACAGAAACCCATTGTTAGGCTGCTGTCCAATGCTCCTGCTGGAAATCCAGCATTTGATCAGTCGCTGCAGCCAATGGCTGCAGGGCTGATCAGTGTATTCTGACTGAGGGGAGACCCCCCGCATCAGAATACAATAGCGCAACAGGGCAGATCCCTGCATTGTGTGGATGCAGGGATCTGTGTTGTCATCCCACTGATATCCCCCAGTGTATAGCCAGTTTAAGACACTTTGACCGTAAATGAATGATGTTGATGCTAGACACAATGGTTGTCAGAAACTGTTGACCTCCAGGGATTTTTTTTCACATTTAATTATCTCAAGTTTACAAAGAATGGCGGAAAAAACTTCTGCAGCACAGCCTGGGTTCCATTCATGGCAGCTAAAACAGGAAAGGAAAGAAAGCAACAGCCCTCAATAAGTAAATGACAATATGCTCATAGCTGAAAGTATAAAAGAACTTAAGTGACTTAAAGGGGAAGTTAAAAACAGAGAGAAAAGATAGGACTTTCAACTAAATATCAAAAAAACTAAACAGTGACAACAGGAAAGATAGCTAATTTCAGAGCTGATTGTGAAGACAAAGAATGAGAGATCATCTGCCTCCTTAGAACAATTATTAACAACAAAGTATCCAGTAGTAAAAAAAATACAATGTAGACTTAAGAACTTTGAAATAGGATAAAATGCCCTGGAAAATACCATTGAAAATACTAATATGTCTATAAGTACAAGATCAGAGTTGTTTAGGTTATTGTATTTTTTCTCTCATTCTGTGCGAGTTGTACAATTAAGACGCAAGATAGGGGAAATCACCCATGGTTAATATAGCATTGTTCAAGCACAAAAGATCCTGGATTTTGATTAATGAAAATTTGACAAGTATCCTCAGGGACAAACAAGCCAGGTTTGAAAACTTGTGGAATCCCTGGATTCAATTTGGTCAAGCTCCCTAGTCATCGGGACACCGTGGGGATTGGGTGTCTGGATTGATGAGACCAGTCTCTGTCTTTCTCTTTTTCCTTTCTTCCCTCTACTTTCCTCTTCTCTTACTTTCTTTATGATTTTGATGATTTTTATATGGATGCCAATGGGGGGGACCATAGAGCCTTTCCCAACAAGGGAGGGTAGTGTACACCTAGTCTAATAGCTCACTATGATATAAAGGTCAGTGTGAAACCGTTCATGCTCTCTTTGGCTCTGAAGAAGAGGACTTGTCCCTTGAAACACCTTTGGATGCTACAAAGGCTTCCCGCACCACAGGCAGAACACCGTGGATCTGGAGGCAGTCTCATCAGCATTCTATTATATGCCCATGCTTGTCATACATTTGTGAGTAGAATACTTTTTATATACTTTAAATAAATTGATATTCTGGTAATACACTAGGTTGGTGCGCCCTGCTTTTTTTGTTGTTTCCAGTGTTTGCAAGGATACCTACAGTACTGTGAGAGCAGAAAGATTTGGTATCATACCTATCAGCTGAATAAGCGGTAGAGCGCCACATGTCGTTAGCACCACACCAGGAGGTTACTATTAATATTTTCACTTCTGGATCGAGGAGACCAGTCTCTGTATTTCTTTTTTCCTTTCTTCCTTCTACTTTCCTCTGCTTTTACTTTCTTTATGATTTTGATGATTTTAATTTGGATGCCAATTGGGGGACCATAGAGCCTTTCTCAAATTACCATATATCTGGATGCAAGGCACTCCCCCTTGAGGTTCTGAAAACATTATCTGTCATTATAGCACCCACACCTTTCAGTATAACTGGGACAATGCTTGATCTGCAGTTTAATGAAACACTTTTCCATTGGTATGACTTTATTCTATCTAATGCAACTAGGTGATCACAATTATTGAGCTTTACATCCTTGGTAAGCTACTGTTTTATTTGGCAGGGCCAGTCTGTCAGGATTGGTTCCTTTTGTCTGTATGTAACTTGATTGAGACAAGCCAAACCCTGACCATATTTGAGGGTGCATCCATCTTTTGAGATATGTTTAATAATGTTTGTATAATTGTATTTTGCAAAACTTCTTGAATAAAAACTTATTGAAAGAGAAGCAAGATAGCATACGCAAATTTCCCTGATCGCAAAGAAAAACAAAGAAATAGGTCCTTCAACAAATCAGTTTTTCTCTGACAGCCCAGATGACTAAAATGAAGCAGTTACATGTTTTGGTAATATTATTATAAGAACCAACTCATTGGAAAATAGGATAATGCTTGGAAAAGTTGAAAAAAAGAGAAAAATAGGACAACCAGCAGTAGGGTGGCTGATTACAATCACACAATGCATGGACATACCCATGAGCGGACTGACCATTTGGAAAGTCGGGCACTGCCCGAGGGCCCGGGGTCAGTAGGGGGCCCCATGAGATGCCCCTGGTACCTTTTTCATAGGCTTTTTGAGTTTGGGCAAGGACACAGGGGCCCCATGATCTCCTATTCCCCGGGGGCCATATGAGTTGTCAGTCCGGCCCTGGACATACCATTGCAAGGGCTTAGGAGCCAAAAAGAAAACAGATCATTCTGGGAGATCTCTATCACTATCTATGCTGTCACTGGGAGTTGATATTGACTTCATATCACTTAAAGTTGAATTCCAGGCTAACAGGTAAATATGCAGATAAAATGAATATATGGGGGCTGTTTAATCTGTCAAATGACTTGTATTTCTGTCCATCTAGTCCTGAGATTGACACAGGTCTGCCAAACAACACAGCCCTCTCTGGCTGGTTATGGACCTGATGTTTTTCTGCTGCATTTACACTTTTACTTACAGGTCTCCTTCCCACTTCTACCATGTGACAAGAACATTGCACACTAGTAAACTGAGCTCTGTCACTCTACTATCTCCTTCTATAGGCATGTTTCTTGCAGTGCCACTCACCTTGTTGGCTCTTTTCACTGCTCCTCCCTTTTGCAGTTTGAATTTGTTTGTACAGGGGCTACAAGAGGCTGATCAAAATCAGGCACTTACACTGTTTGCATGAAAAAACCCCAAACATTTAATTGTTTAAAAATGAACACAGTGTTGTACTAATATTTGTCTTTTATATCTGGCTGGAGTTCAGCTCTATTAATAGGGTTGCTTACATTTTAGGTGTGATTGGTTATCATGAATTAGGGCACAGTCATGCCCCCTTTGTGTTATTAACCCCTTTGTGATGTCTCCCACCACCTTCTGATCATAAAGAGAAACCAGAAGCTGTCTGTGACAGTTTGGTCATTGGGAACATGCAGCAAGTGTGCTCTCAACATAGAAACCTTAGCCCCCATTGGCGCATATGTATGGTATGTTGGGAAATAAGGCCCACATGCCTTGTTGACGCAGATATGCGTTACATGGTCAATAAGAGGCTAAATAAATTAATTATTATGCCTAAATCCATGATATTACACCTTTAGATTAATAATTTATTGATTGTGTTTTAATATAGTTACTATTTCAACATATTGTATAATCTCCACTGCAATGTATCTAAAACAGTTACAAGAGTGGGTAATTTTTAATATCATGAAATTAAAAAATGTTCATAAATATGTCCATTAAAATTAGATTGTAAGCTCCAAGGAGCAGGTCCCTCCTATCCCTCTTGTACTGAACTGTATTGTTGCTGTATTGTCTCCCGTTATATTGTAAAGCGCTGAGCAAACTGTTGGCGCTATATAAATCCTGTATTATAATAATAATTTAAATTTAATGAAAAATAAAAGCTTCAGTCATATCTCCTAAAAAGTTTCTAAGATCCATAAACACCAAGGAACACTAAACACTGCTTGGAAGGCATTAAGTATGTTCAATCCACAGTAAGACATTCACTTTTGTAGCTTTCCTCCAGCAAGCCTCACTACTGGGTGAGTTTTAGAAGCCAATGTATTGTATATATAACCCTATGCAGGAACAGGCCATATGAGAAGATGGCAGTATTAGTGATTAGCAGAGTATTTTTGGCAAAATTGAGTTCACTGTGAAATGACTGATTTTGCCACTGGTGAAACTTGGAGACCCTCATTTTCATGCATTGTACATTTGTGCATTGTCACTTTAAATTTTTTTATTTAAATTTTTTCACTGTTGAAAGGATAATCAAAAGGAATTTCTGTGAAGCTCATAAGCTACTTAACGTCCATTACACATTTAAAAAAACAAATTAATTTCTCATTCTCAATTGATTTCATTGCATTCACTAAATAAAAAAGTGCACTTGTCGCTATTAGTAACATGTTGTCCTTGAACATACTCACACCCTAATAGATAACTCCAACATTGACACCCCTTGTTGCAGAAGCATTCCTATGGTTAGTACTCCCTAAAGTTGATCCTATAGCCCTGAAAAATTCTTCATCTTTTCTCATCGCCTATGATTAGCTCAACTCCCTGTATTAGGCTGTTAGGGACCAGCCGGTGGTAGCCTCTAGCGTTCCAGAGACCAGAATTCCCCAAGGCGCGGAATCTAAGTTCTGACCTGCTTGTTCACCAGAGCCCCTGATGGTGGGGATGGACTTGGAGCAAGTCGAGACCAGGTCGCAACCCCTGGGTGCAACCAGCTGTGGTAGAGGCACCTGTCGGTGGTATGCAGCAGGTGAGAGTCTGATGTGAGGAGGTAGAGTAAGCGAGGTCAGACAGGCCGGGTCGGTAACAGCGGAGCAGGTCGGTACAAAACAGCAGGCAGAAGAATAAACGGGTCCGGGTTTGGCAACAGGAGATCAAAAGTTCAGGAGCAGGCAGGAGAATGGTCAGCCAAGCCAGGGGTCAGAGCAGGAGAAGTCAGCAGATCAGGATCAGGCAGGGACAGCAGCAAAGTAAACTCACAGGAACACAGGAAAGACCATACGGCACTTGAGCATTGCAAGAGCTGGGTTTAAATAGCCCGCCCGACTCCTGACAGGCGCTCCTGGGTCCTAGTGCTTGCCCGGCACCGTCATTGGTGACAGGCGTGCATAGGGTCCTAGTGCCCGCCTGCCTGTATGTTTTGTCAGGACTCTACGCATGTGCGGATTCGATCGCCGCAGCAATCTTCCCATTCCCTGACATAGGCATTATCTATTAAAACCCAATACTCTTCTTTACTCTGGAGCTTCTTCCTATATTACCTCTTCTTTGCCACAAGATGTCTTAGTCTTTCAGATTAAATAATGCCCAGTGTCGCTTAACCCAGAAAAGTGAACACATACTAATGTGAGTGGCTCCATGCATCACAATGGCACCCTTCATTTGTGTAGTGAGTAGTGCTTCTGTTTTTATTAGTGAGGACTGCCCTGCCCAGAGAAGAGGCAAAAAGGAAGAGGACCCTGCAGGGTAATGCTACTAGCCTGATATTTTGGGAAAAAAGGTTGGTATTAAAACCTAACATGTATGAAATACTGCCAGTGGGGCTACAAGTGGAGGAAGAGGGCCAATTTGTGGGGAAAGCCTGAAGCCCAAAGTTGGGCTTAATTGTAGCTGTTAATTGTAACATGTAGAGATGTGGACTGTGCCTAATGCATTGTTTCATTAGTGTTCATACTAAAAGGAACATCTGGGGACTATGAGGCAAAGTAAAAATATTACCTTAGTTCTCTAGAATTTCTTAGCATACCATGTAAGAAAAAAAAAATCTTATTTTGTAATGACCCTGCTCTCCACCACCAATATTTGAACATAACATTAGCACATAAAAATACAAAAAATAATGCAGCGCTAGCAACCTATACTAAGATACAAATGAGATACCGTATAAACTCGAGTATAAGCCGACCCGAATATAAGCCGAGGTACCTAATTTTACCACAAAAAACTGGGAAAAACTATTGACTCGAGTATAAGCCCCATCATTAGTATCAGTGGGAGGAATAGTGCCCCATCATTGGTGTCAGTGGGAGGAATAGTGCCCCATCATTGTTATCAGTGGGAGGAATAGTGCCCCATCATTGGTGTCAGTGGGAGGAATAGTGCCCCATCATTGGTATCAGTGGGAGGAATAGTGCCCCATCATTGGTGTCAGTGGGAGGAATAGTGCCCCATCATTGGTGTCAGTGGGAGGAATAGTGCCCCATCATTGGTATCACTGGGAGGAATAGTGGCCCATCGTTGGTGTCAGTGGGAGGAATAATGCCCCATCATTAGTATCAGTGGGAGGAATAGTGCCCCATCATTGGTGTCAGTGGGAGGAACAGTGCCCCATCGTTGGTGTCAGTGGGAGGAATAATGCCCCATCATTAGTATCAGTGACACCAATGATGCGGCACTATTCCTCCCACTGACACCAATGACACTTGATGACCCCTGTTGCAGTATGGTGCTGCTGCAGCCAGCATATGTGGTTGCAGCAGCACCTCTGCACTGCACACTTACCGGCTTTTCCCTCACTCGATTTTCGCGGGTCCGTTCGGCTCCGCCTCCTCCCCCGTGATTGGCCGCCTGTGTACCTTTCCTGAGCTACAGTTCTGGCGGCCAATCACCGGAGAGGAGGCGGAGCCGAGCGGCAGGAGTGAGGGAGTGGCCGGAGTGACGAAAGGAGCAGCACTTCCTGGATGGATCATCGTGGGAGCCAGGTAAGAGACAGCAGCCCTCTGCCCACCCCTGTACGCGCCCCCCTTGACGGAGCCTCGCGCCCCCCTATCTGCAGACGTTGACTCGAGTATAAGCCGAGGGGGCCGTTTTTCAGCACAAAAAATGTGCTGAAAAACTCGGCTCATACTCGAGTATATACGGTAAATGGAAATATCACATATGGAATGCACAATAAATATTCAGTGTTAGGTGCTCATAAAATGAATACTATGTGCAGCAGTCCATAAATGCCAATGATGGTGAAAAATCACAGCAAAACTCTGTGAGGTGATCACAGTGCCACTCAGTGTGCAGTCAATCCACAGATGGCCAAGATGGCCCCTCACCTCCTTGATGCGACCCACTGGGCCAAACAGCTATGTAGGTGACCTTATACACCCAATAAGGTATCATCAAAGGATGGAACGTTTGGATAGATCCCTCCAATATCTTCTCCTATCTCCTAGGTACTCGATTCCACAAAACCGTTTAAGATACCATTAAAAACAAAGAAGATCCTCCATAGTGTAATCCAGTTTTAATAATAACATGAATATAAATAAAATGCCCACTCACATGTAAAATGACAAAGATCAGCTTTTTCCCATATCATGGGTGTGTTTCCATGGTTCTCATGCTAAGAAATGCATGCAGCTCCACTTGCTCCACAATCCCTCCAGAAATGGCACCGACGCCGGAAATGACGTCCCCCCCTCCGCCCACGTACCGCGCCACCGGAAATGATGTCAGTGCGTACCTTAACGCATTTACATCACGTTCCATGCGACTTCCTCAGAGTGATTTCTGGAGGGATTGTGGAGCAAATGCAGCTGCATGCATTTCTTAAACGGTTTTGTGGAATCGAGTACCTAGGAGATAGGAAAAGATATTGGAGGGATCTATCCATACGTTCCATCCTTTGATGAT